AATGGAATTCACTGGGGGCTGGACTTAGATCTCCTGTGGAAGCATAGCAACTGCAAAATGATGACACAATTGACCCCACCTTTGGGCTCAGCCAGGTCATCTACGAGAGCCCTGTTTTTTGTATGCAGCACAATAATATTTTGCATTGGCTTTATGTCTCACTGCATTATTTTTATATAAAGAGGGGAAATAACAAGAAAATTATCCCATGTTATCTCAAAACTGAAAACAAAAACAAATATTCATTACATGTCTCCTATCAAAATATGTTATCAGTCTCCCTGGCTAAAATAGAAAGCTAGAAGAATTGGGGCGCTTTGCTTTGCTTATTAAAAGAATATAGGCAGCAAGAAATATCTTATTTTGTGGGCTCAAAAACAAATCTAATGACAGTGAATAACTCTCTCTGGAATCTTATTTCATTATGAAAGATTATTATCTGGATGAATATAAAAAATTTAATCAAAAGCACACACCAGCTCAGTCCTAAAAGTTCAAGTTGTCTAAACTTATTGGCAGTGCTTCCTAAACTTTTTCCTTCATTACCCCAAACCACTTTCTTTAGCATCTTTGTAACCTGAATGGTCACTGAACAAATTGTCGTAACTTGAGGACTACCTGTATTCTAAAAACAATATTACTGAATGATATTTATGTCATTTGAACAAATTACCATCAGTAATTTTATTGATTTTTGTTTTATTAGGAATACTTTGGGAGATTTTTGAATATATATTAGTATACATGGAAATCTAAAGAAATCAATTTAAATATCTCTGTTGTGATGGCTAATGGATTTGTGGGTCATTACCCCCCCCCAAATAATTTTACCCAATTTTGAGTAATTTTATCCAGGTTTGGGAAGCACTGCTCTACAGCAACAGCCACAACATTTGGGACACCCACAAAAATGCAACCATAACTATGTGTGTTGCATGTATTCTCTGATCATCCTTTCACTTGGTACATCATTCACAGGATAGACTAAATAAATAGCATCATAAACACATGCATCGTAAATAGACTAGAACAGAGGTCCCCAACCTTTTGGGCACCAGGGACCGGTTCCATGGAGAGAGGTTTTTCTGCGGACCGAAGGGTGCATGGTTTTGTGTGCTGCCTGCATGCCACAGATGGGGTTTTGTTTGTTTGTGCAGACCAGTTGCTGGCATGCCATGGCCCGGTACTGGTCCATGGACTGGGGGTTGGGGACCCCCAGACTAGAAGACTATTTGAACGTGACACTCACTTATTTGTAAAAGATAATTTTCTTTTGAGAAGTGCAAAAGATACAAACTAAGTTGTTTCTGTATAGTTCAAATCTGAAGAAACAGCTACCTGCGAACTGGGAGGAGGAGAGCAAGGGAAATGGAATACAACTATATTCATAAAATGTAAATGAAATCAAATTCAGTTTTTGTTCTGGCTCCACCCATTATTTTTACAATGCAGCCTTAAAAGCTAAAAACAGCTATTAGCTGTTGGGTATCCCTGATTACATTATATTACATTTGTCTAGGAAGATTCTCTGTCATCCAGGTCATGGTTGTCCCAAACATACTTTTGTCAAAAGGCCATCGGACTTTGAAGGCATTTCGCTTCTCATCCAAGAAGCTTCTACAGTTCTGGCTAAATGGTGGAGGACGGAAGGATTTATATTCCTTGCAGTTATCTGGTCATTAGCACTCTTTCTGAGAGTCATTAAGGCACAGATAAACCTCCAAGTGCCCTCAATGCCTCTCAGAAAGAGTGCTAATGACCAGATGACTGCAAGGAATATAAATCCATCCTCCCTCATTCAGTCAGAACTGAAGAAGCTTCTTAGATGAGAAGCAAAACATCTTCAAGGAAAAAGTCCAGCTGTCTATTGAAAAAGCACCTTTGGGACATTATATTACATTATGACTGTAATCTGTCTATATGCTACTAAAATACTTACTGTCATGACTGTCAACTTTAACTGGTACATCATAAGGTAACCATTTTTGAACCAAGAAATCTCTCTCAAATGGGCTAACTTACAAAATGTATCCAAAATCCAAGATTCATGACTCAATGAAATTTGGGGAAAATGTGGCTGCTTCAGTATTACTGGCTGCAGTTAGGCTGCTGCTATGGTCACATGACCTTTATTTTTAATGTTCCATGACAGTTTCCCAGCCAGCCTCATAATTTGTTACTCTGTTCCTCACACAGCAGTGGCCACTTACCTGTGGGAAGGGGAGAGGAGGAGAAGAGAGATGAGAGGAAGGGAGAGAAAATTTCTGATGCTCCCTGCCAGATTCCCACAAGGAAACTCAGTGGGGAAGCCAGCAGGAAATGAAAAGTCTTTCGTGCTCCCACTTGTTTTTTTGCCAATCTGTGGTCATTCTGGTTTGCTGTTTAGGTAAGGAAATATCTCTGAAATGATGACACAACTGGCAAGGGTTGTCTAGTTATTATACTGTCTGGAAATTTGAAATGTTTATTATGTTAACATTTGTTTTCATGCAGTCAGGTTACTGCCATACAAATAAATTAACGTGCCATGTACATCTACCCAAAACTTGGATTTTTTTAAAGTCTACCTGGTATTTTAGATCCATTTTTCTATTATTGTTTAGAGAGTGGCTTGAACCAAATTATATTTGCTGCCTTCAAAAAGTAGCAACTATTATTAGATAAGCAGTACGATTCAAATTGGATTTCTGAATATTATTGTATTTCTCCTCAAATATTGTAGGCAAGTATACAAAGCAGTTGATGAGCATGATTAATAGCAACTGATATTGGAGTTTAGATGATATAGCTCTATTACATGAACCTTGTATTAAAGACTATATATCAAGGATGATTTATCATTTAGAGAAAATAGAACATCAATATCAAAGAGTAGATAGACAAGGGAGAGCTGCATAAAGTTGCTGTTATTTAGCATAATCTAGCTGTTCATGGGAAACAACAGATAGATAGATAGATAGATAGATAGATAGATAGATAGATAGATAGATAGATAGGTGGGTGGGTGGGTGGGTGGGTGGGTGGGTGGGTGGGTGGGTGGGTGGGTGGGGTGGGTGGGTGGGGTGGGTGGATGGATGGACAGATAGACAGACAGACAGACAGGGGGAGGTAATCCTTGACATAATACCACAATAGGGACTAGAATTTCCAATGTTAAGTGAGGTGGTGGTTAAGTGAATCACACCAATTGTATGACCTTTTTTTGCCATGGTCATTAAGCAAATCATTGCAGTTGTTAAATAAATCATGTGGTCATTAAATACATCTGGCTTTCCCCATTGACCTTACTAGTTAGAAGCCATCTGGAAAGTTGGCAAATGGCAATTACATGACCTCGGGATGCTGCAACCATCATAAATACAGGCTAGTTGCAAGTATCTAAATTCTGATCACATGACCGTGGGGATGCTGCAACAGTCGTGAGTCCGACAGCTGGTCATAAGTCGCTTTTTTTAGTACCTTTGTAACTTCAGACAGTCATTAAATGAATGGTTGTAAGTCAGGATAGGATAGGATAGGATAGGATAGGATAGGATAGGATAGGATAGGACATTAAAACATAATAAAATACTTTACTGTATCTGAGAACCATTATAATAATACACTTGCATAACTTTTTCTCTTACTTCTGTAGTTAATTCTAACATTAGCTCAGTTTTGAATTTACAAGAAAGTTCAAGCTACAGTTTATTCTAACTCAGTGGTTCTCAACCTTTTTAATGCCGCGACCCCCAACCGGTCGTAAGTCGAGGACTACTCAACTGGTCGTAAGTCGAGGACTACTCAACTGGTCGTAAGTCGAGGACTACTCAACTGGTGCAGCACTGTTTACAGAATGGGACTTTTGGCGGGCTCAGCAGGGCAGAGACAGCCTGGACAATTCCTATTGGCTTTTGAAATCCAATAGAATTAGACTCTATTCAAGAGAGTCTATTCTATTGGCTTTCAAAAGCCAATACAATAAAAGGGAGTAGCACAGCTAAGGAAAAGAGGAAAAAAATGGCGGACTGCGTTGTTTGGCGACCCCCATGAAATGGTCGTTCGACCCCAAATGGGGTCCCGACCCACAGGTTGAGAACCACTGTTCTAACTGAAACAAGCTTTAGCATGCCTTCCATTCTGCTTCTTATTCTTCTTGGCGTGGCAATAAGGAGATTTCACTTTCACTTTAATTCTTGATTGTAATTACAGTTTAGCATTACAATTAAACCTTAGACTAAAATTAATCTTAACAATAGTTTATTGTTAAGTCTCATAATCCATGTTGACTTATTTCAATCAAATAATAAGTTGTGGTTCTTACCCATCACAATGGAAAATAGATTACTGCAGGGCCCAAATATCTAATTGGTTGTGTTTACACTAAGCTATACAAATAACATTAAGTCAAAAACTCAAGCAAGGCACTCTGAAACAATGGAAGGGAACAAGGAAGGACTTAGTTTCTGCATTACGAAAGCTAAACAGTTGCCCAGTTAGACCTCCATTGGATTGGTTCTCTCTCTCTCTTTCTCTCTCACACTCCCTTCCTCACTCTCTCTCTCAGAGCCACAGTGATTAAATACTGGGTGAAGGTTCTGGTATTTCCTTAGCCTTGAAAACCAGCTGGGTGACTTTGGCCAGTTATTCTCTCTCTACTGTAGACTGGGAAGTTGAAAAACTTTCTGAATTGGACCAGTGTGGTGGATTATATATATTATATATGAATGCATGCGTGGACAAACACACACATGGCAGTTTGGTGTAGTAGTTAAAGGCGCCTGGATAGAAACCAGGAGACTATGAGTTCTAGTCCCACCTTAGGTATATAGCCAGCTGGGAGACTTGGGGTCTCTCTCAGTCCTAGGAAGAAGGCAAGGGCAAACCACTTCTGAAATCTTGCCAGAGAAACTGCAGAGACTTATCTAGGCAGTTACCAGATTGACTTGAAAGCAGCAAAATTATATATAGCTGTATCTCAACTGTAATTGTATAATACTAGAAGGAGTCCGGAAACCTACTTGAGAAGATTTCCAAGATTGAAGAGAACTCTGTTGTGTTGAGGATTCAGCTGGAGAGCTTTAGTGTAGTATTCCTTTGCTTGTGCCATATCTTTGGTCAACGTCCCAAGGTTGTTGAGGGCACTTGCATGACGTGGATACAACCTGTTGAGCAAAAAAAAAAAAAAAAATCAGATCATCTTACTGAATACCAAAAAAAATCCAAACCATTTCATGTTCGTTGCTTCTTATTAGACCTTCCTATGGCAAGGTTTAATTCTTTCATTTCTACGTGAAGATTTGGGACTATCAGGGAACAGCAACAAGCCTTGATTTGAAGGCCTTCAGCAATCAGTGGGGCTGACCCATGGCCCGTGGATTAAAAATACACATTTATGGAATGTTGTGGCAGGGAGAATTCTGTACTGGGTAGTAGAACAGGCAAATGCTGAGCCCCCTTTGCTTGTACTGTACCCCCAAATCAAGGAGAGGAAGCATCTGGAACTCAAGGGGGAAAGGCTCCAGGAGGAAAAAATAGGGTTCTGCCCCCCACCCTGCCCCACTCCTCTGACTGCCGTTTCCCAGGGGGAAGTGATGAGCATTCTTCCTGTCCCATCTCACCTTTTTTACTTATGAATGTGAAGAGTACAGTCTTTGTTCCAGTAAACAATATCAGCGTTTAAACAGAGATTTTTAAAAAGTCTACTTGCATTTAATCTTACGGGGTTATTTTTGTTTGGATTTTTAATAAAATACAGCCTTCCAGTTTGCAGTCTTTCTTACAAAGCCCATGTGTAGGCTCAAACACACCAGTATAAAATATGTATATGTCGTTGGAAATGGCAACCATCTGCAAGCAATATCTCTTCTGCTATGCATCTCATTAACCACCAAGTCCTCCTCGCTTCACCTAATCAAGCACCAACTACTGCATTATTTATGAAAGAAAACTGAATTTCATTAAACTCTCACTAGGGCCACCAGATTCTATTTTTTTAAAAAAAAAAAATTGATGTTCCCATCTTTCCAAAATTCTAGGCATTTTTACAAAAAATAGCCTTTCCTTCATAGTTATATAAAAAACCTGAAACAACTTGATTCCGAGAGAGAGAGAGAGGGGGGGGGAGAGAGAGAGAACGGAAGCAATACTTTACATTAAGTTTGACTTTGAGTTTTGTTTAAATAAGAAGCCGGATGTTTTTTGGAGATCAGATTAATTATTCAGAAGACTCCTTCAACAGTGCCTCTTCAATAGTCAGAACCCATTTAGATAGCTCGGCTTTGAAAACTTACTGCCTCCCCTTCTAATTCCCCAGAAATATTATTAGATTATACTGATTCCTAGTGAGTCTATATAACAAAGTCTTCAGGAAGTGGTAACACCTGTCTGATCTTGGAAGCTAAGCAGAGTCAGGCATGGTTAACTTCTTGGGTGGAAGATAGCCTGTGAAAATCAGAGCTATAATTAAAGAAAGCAATGAAAAGCCACAGTAACACTGCTGTCAACAAAACTAGTAGGAATCACCTTGCTTAGAAGAAGTCTTCAACTATTACATAATAAGATCAGAGTTTTTAAAAAGAATTGCAAAAGATTAATGATAGCTTCAATACAAAAAATAGAAGGCAGAAATGGATTTCAAGAGAAATAGAACCAATCTTTTCTTTTGAAACACTTATTTTTATAACTATTCTTGACCTTTGAGCCTCACCGGTTGTCCCAGTTATTTGAGTGACACCAAGACTATTCAATGTTACAACTAAAAACACAGGAGAAAAAAAATGGAAGGGGGATTTTTTTTACCTGAAGCTACATTCTGTCTTTCACTAAGAATGTCAGTTTACAAGGAAACTCCGTAAAATGAAATGGCTGCACAATCGGCAAAGTCAAGGCCTATGGGAACTAAAGCCCAGATTCTATGCTGAGACCAAAATCCAAAAGAGATATTTACAAGGTCATCAGTTTTAGAGGCTGTTTAGTCCAACAGGTTTTTGAAGGTGCTCTCTGAAGCTGGTAGAAATCATCCGTGCAGAAATTAAATCAAATTGAATGAAAGAATAAGCTGGGGTAGAAAGTTCTAACAGGTGCCAACTCAGGTAGGAAATTACAAATGGAAGAAGAGGTCCAGAAGGAATTTACAGACATTGTTGTCTTCCTATTAAAGAGCACACAGGTACCATCTGTCATCCCTCTCAATCCTCATGAAATAAACTTTCTTGTAGAGGGGGGCACAAAAAGACTGTTTAATTTTTGACCCTCAGTATAGTCCAAATCTCTCCTCCAAGATACTAGCCTAGACAAGAGATTCAGAGAGAAACAAAGGAGAGATCATAGCATTAGCTCAGAGCTTGCCTGTTCCAAAAAGATAGTTTGGGTGATTCTGTTCAAACTAGCAAAAAGGAGAAGTAACATCTCCATCTGTTTGTATTTTGGGCTCTATTTTTTTTAGCTAACAAACCTAGAATCAGACACTGCATTTTCTTTTGGTCTGTTATTTGTCTATGATAAACAATATAGCATATTTTTTTTTAAAAAAAGTAAGTAGCACAAGAATTCCAGGAGTTAGCTGTGGTGATCAGTGGCTGCTCTATGTTCCCAGAAACAGGGCCACAATTTTGACATCACACTTTGTCAAAATTGCTTACAGTTTATAGTGTCCACTCTGTGTGGAAAGTTGGAGTCCTATTGTACCAGGTTACATTATGCTGATTGATAATTCAGCCTATTAGCATTGTGATTCTATGAACATCTCCAGTGTTTCTCAACCTTGGCAGCTCAAAGATGGGTGGACATCAACTCCCAGAATTCGTCAGCCAGCTATATACTGGCTGGGGAATTCTGGGTTGAAGTCCAGACATCTTCAAGCTGCTAAAGTTGAGAAATGCTGATCTAGAATATTCATAGACAGTTTGGAAAGCAACCCTCAAGCTCAGAGAACAAACCTTCACCTTCATCCTACACCTGAGCAACAGATATTCACCACTATTACAAAGCTATGTTCTTTAATAACTCTAACTAAACTCATCATTTTTCTTTCTGACCCATCACACATGGCCAGTCAGCAAGAATAAAAAAATTTCTCCTATTTATTCCACAATCACTACCTTATTATTGTCCTATATCCTATCACAGGTTTTTTTTAATCTTGGCAGCTTGAAAATGTGTAGACTTCAACTCCCAGAATTCCTGGCTAGAGAATTCTGGGAGCTGAAGTCCACACATCAAGTTGCCAAGTTTGAGAAACACTGTCCTATCAAATCATCAAAGTACAAACATTTCTGCAGAAATGGGATAAGATGAAGGGCCATTTCAATGTATCCATTTATAAAATATATGGTCAAACAGATCATTTAAAATGGTTGAACATTTGCAAGAGTGGGAAAGTGGGGGTCTTGTGCTGTCCTTCCAAGACAAGGAAGAAATCCAAGATAAGTATATTATGTCAGATTTGCCCAACTTATCAAGCCATAGTTTACTTAACCATAGTTTATTAAATAAATCATAACTGAATGAGGCAAAACATTAGACCACTTGCATGCTGGAGTTTTACTGTTCATAAGCCCAAAGTAAATAAGTTATAATATGGTTGAATATGATGGACAAACCCCATCTACATATGTCAGGATTTATGTCTCATATTAAGCAATAAGTGAATACACTTCGCTCCCTGTGTGTTCTGTGAAACCAGTCACCTGTGGTTATAAGCTATGAATGATAAAAACTACAATCTATAAGTATATGCACAGAAAGAAAGAAACAAGTAGAAAAAGGGTGGGAAATTTCTGTAATGATTGATTCATCTCAAGTTTCTCTAAAGCCAAAGAGAAGCTCATTAAATGGTCTATGTCAAAAGCTCATGGAATTGCTTACCTCCTAGAACTTTTTCTTTATTGCTGTATCTATTTAAGAAAATGCAGCTCTTTTGCTCATTTCTGGACTGATTGTTGGCTACGAATGTTCCTGACACAGCATTCTAGTGACTGCAGCCAAACTCCAGGGAGATTTGGCTCTTTATACAGGAAGAGTGTAAATGGCTGATAACCTGAGCCAGAGTTATGACTAAATTCTATCGTTTATCCCAGAATTGAAAATACACAGAATGTTGGTGTCTTTGCATCAATATACTATAGGTATGTAAGAGAGATGAAATTCCACAATCTCTTGCAATTTTTTATTTTTTTTTATTTTTTTTTTGGCTAGAGATAGAAGAGATACATCATCTTCTGCTTCAATTACTTGGAACAAGGCTGTCTATTGGAGCAAGGGAAATATGTGGAACTTGCATATGCAAAACAATATCTTAACATTTGCACAAACATACTCTTTCATACATTTTTAATAGGCACAACCAAACATCTTTACTCTGAACCTTCACCATGTTTAGCATAGTGATATTTTAAGGTTGCAATTCTAGACCTCATAATGATCTAGAATCATAGAATTCTATGATTCAATGATTGTAGATCATTATGAGGTTTAGAATTGCATCTTTAAAACATCACATTGTGCTCCAAGCAAAAGTAAAGTATTTTATTTATCTAATTTATATAGTTGCCCATTTCACAAGCAAGCGACTCTGGGCAGCATACAACAAAACTAAAACAGTATTTAACATCATTACCATTAACAAATATAAAAGCATTAAAAAGCTGTAAAAGAACAAAGGAAACAGCCCATAAACTGGGTTGCTTTATGTGCCATTCCAAGCCTGAACCATTAAAAACAAACCTCATTTAAACCAACAACAGTACATTAATTCTTTTGACAATGTTTACCATATCTGGGCTTCATCATGGCTACGGCTCACATGGACCATTTATTTAACTGTTTTACAGTATTAGCTAACCCATTCAAATTGTAAATTTGTACATGTTACAGTAGTTGGATACTGTATGTTACATTACGTTTTCCCCTTTAAAACCAAATAACCTGGGCTGTTTGCTGTTAAATACCTGACTGCCTTTGGCACGTTTAGTATTTTTTTCTAAGCAAAAATTAACAGGATTATAGTATGCATTGAAAACAGATTCTCTGTACTGAAGTTTCAAAGACAACATTATCCTCCACAGCTACAATTAAATTCAGGAGGAAAGTTTCACTGGATCAGTGGAATTTCTTCATTCAATTGTACAGATAGTCCTTGCATTACGACCTTAATGGAGCATGC